CCCAGCGCGTCCCGCGCGGCGCCGGCTCCTCCCACGCCCCTGCTCTGGCGCTCGCTCGCGTTTGGCCCCTGGTCTCCGTATTTGCGGCCGCGGCCCGGTGCCTGGAACACGGACGTCTGTGTCCTTCCCGGGAACGTCCCCGGCTAGGCAGGAGGGCTCGTGACCGCGGGGCTCGGCAGCCGGAAATGGGACTTGCGATGGAACCTGGCCTTTGGAAACAGCAGAGAAGGCTGTCTGGGGAGACCCGGCCGCGGACGCACGCGTGTGCTTGGGAGGTAAGGATATGCAGGTGAGCCCTCGCCGACAGGGCGGAGCAGCCCTGGTGCCCTCAGATGGTCACCCACCTGTCGGTCCTGCTCCTGCTCCACCCTGCACCTTGGCCGGCCACGGCCCTGGTGGTTCTGGACAGACTCCCCTCTGCCCCCACCCTGGAAAGCACTGAAGTATCAAGATTGGCTTAAAGTGAAGGAAATAAATAAAAGTAACATCACTTTAAAAAAATTAAGAGATCACTTTGAACCAGAGCTGAGAGGGAATATTTTGAAACTAAGAGAAAGTTTAATTTGTAAAGGATCGTTCAAAGGACTTTGCACCTAGTGCTCACAGCTAAGCCAAGACCTACACGATGCTCAATCAGTATTGGTTGAGCGGATCTATAAACTGTATGACGACAGTTAAAGCAGAAACATTCCAAAACACACACTAACTTCACAGACAAGCCAAATTTGTTTACCGGGAAGACAACTTCCGGGCACAGCTGGGAGTGAGCTGTCGAAGCTAGCTAGAGTGGTTGAATAGGGTAAGAAACCTAAAAATCTTACAGACACGAGTGCTTCTGGAGTCAGGCAGATGAGAAGCAGATGGGTTCACTGGTATTCAAGGAGGGGTCACCACCGAGCATGCCAAAGGCTCCTTGAGAGGTCCTCTGTCTTTTTCTCCAAACTTTCTCATCAGTTTTCCATATCAAAAGGTGATCACCCTGGCAGGGGAGAGGAACTATGATAGGTCTTTGTTGGATCTGAAATCTTTGATTCCAAGGTGTCTCTGCATAAGCAAATCTTGTTCCATGGCTTAGCCTAGGATCTAGAGGCGATGTGATGAAGGTAGTTTGGGAAAACTGTATTTGAAGTTTACCTGTCAGAAAAAACACCCAACATACAAACCCCACAGTAGAGAAAGCCGGAGTAGGAGGAGCTCTGGGTTGTGGCTCGGACCGTGGGGCTCCTGCAGTTCAGGGTGTGCTCTGTGCTGTTCCCAGCCCTCCGTCAGCCAGGGTGCTCCCCCACCCTTCCAGCCCACAGCTCTGCAGTTCTCATGCTGTCGCCTCTGCACATCTGGCAGGGGTCACTTGTAGGCCGGCAGGGGAAGGGCCTGCCCCAGCACCTGCTCCTTGGTCCACATTTCTGGCCTCAGCAAGTCTGAGAGTGAGAGGTCGGCCTGGACAGGAACCATTGCAGTCCTCAATGCCTGAGCCCTGGTCCCAGGCCTGTCCTCTCCCTGCAGTCACCATTAGAGACCTTTGCTGCAGGAGGACTGCCACTCTAGGATGAGCAAGCTCAGGAGGAGGGCCACACCAGCCCGGGGTTCACTCGGGTTTTTCAGAAGTATTTTCTTGTAGTGTCTTCTTCCTGGAGCATAAAATAATCATGTTAGCAGAGACTACGTATAGTTTGGTTATTTTGCCAAAAAACTCACAGGCTTGCACAGTGTGCCCAGAAAGAAGGGGAAGTCTGTGTGAGGAAGTGAAATGAACTAAAGGATCAGGCCAGCAGGGGACACATGAGGGTCAGGCAGGTAAATCCCACATGGCCCGCAGAAGGTTCAAGTCCTGGACACTGCGGCTTCAAAATCATGCCTGGTGTGTGTGTGGGAGCCCAGAGTCCCCAGAGGAGAATGGAGGAGAGAGGACTGCAGTGTGGCCATCCCTCCAGGGGGACCTCTCACTTGTCCTGTCTCTGTCTGGGGAGCCCACACGTCCTGCAGCAAATTTAAAAGGGGGGGGGTCATGCCTGAGAGAGGCATGCAGTTGGCGAGCCCCACCCACAGCCCTTTCCTGTGGGTTCGTTGGTACAGCCTGAGAAGGACCAGGCCCATCCCACTGAGTCTCCTTCCCAAGACCCCACCAAACTAGAGAGAAGAGCATGGGGGTGCACCGGGAGGGACTCCCTCTCCCTGAGCAGCTACCCCAGCTCTGGCTCCACTGCAGCGTGGCTCGTGGCTCCCTCAAGCCTGCCCTGCTCCTTTGTCCGCCCCCGACTCCCCCGAGCCCTCCGTGCCACTGCAGCCCTGGGGGGGGGGGGGGGCCTGTGCTCCAAGTGGCGAGAGCAGAGTGGAGAAGGGACTGCTGTGTGGCTGTCCCCCTGGGGTGATTTCTCACTTTCTGTCCCTCTACCTCTGTCTCGCTAGAGCGAGCACATGTGCCCTACAGCAAAAATCTCTGTAAAAAAAAAATGACTGGAAACTTCCATGGGAAAAGATGAAAATTGCTAAGAAAATCAACTAAAAGCATCAACTGGTTACCCCCTAGGTTGAATACCAGTTGTGACTCAACCAAGTACTAGCTTTGTGGAGTCAGGAGGGACACTATTTGAAACCCAGAAGTGGCCAATCTTAAACAAAAAAACTATTCGCTTTTTATTTTTTCAACCTAAGCTCCAGATACAAAGTGACTTTACAGCGTCTCTCAGACACCCTGCAGGGCCCGCAGGTGACACTGGATCCCACATGGCCGACTGCAGTTAGTCTCAGACCTGGTGGCTAGAAGAACATGCCAGGTGCATTTGTGTGTGTGCCCAAAATCCCAGAAGAGACTGCACCACGGCCATCCCTTGTGAGGGGCAATTTCTCATTTACGCACTCTCTGTCCCTCTCTGGTGAGCACAAGCACCCCATGGCAAAAATCTAAAAACAAATAGGTTTATAATGGGTTACTAACAGTTGGAAGCATCTCTAAGCCTTACTCAGGAAGATATCCCTTATTCTGTGAGAATAATGCAGAGTGAATTATGGATCTCAGCTAAGTGGGTGGTCCTTTTCTTTAAAGAGCCATGTTTGGAGGAATGTCTCCTGACACCTTCGCTGTGCAGGCATTGAGGTTTGGGCTGATGTTTATGACAACCAAACCTCACCTGAGATTTGGTATGCAGAAGGTGTAATATTATTGGTTTGTTTGGGTTTTTTTTCAGGCTTCTGCCATCGGGTGCATATCCTCCCAAGAGAGAGAGAGACAGTGAGACAGTGAGACAGTGAGGAATCAACCCCTGGGGGAATGGCCATACCACAATCCCATCTCCATTCTCCTCTCTGGATTCTGGGCACACACGCACACACACCCAGTGTGATTTTCAGGCCTCTGGGTCTGGGAACCCCAACTGGCCATGTGGGAGTACAACACTACAACAGCTTCACCACTGGTGGTAAGAATATTACCTGAGGTTTCTGGACCTCAGACTCTGGGGTTTCTTAAGTATTTTCCAGAAGAGTGATGGCTGAAACATCTGTACAGATCATTTATTCAAGACGCTTGCACCACTGGAACACATGGCTCATTCAGCTGAAATACAGGGAGTCTGACAGGTGGAAGTGTGGGCTCAAGCCGGGCTGCTTGGGCTGCACGCTGGCCCCACTGCCTACTAACTCTGACCTTCAGCCGCTCTAGTTTATTGGTTTGCTTCCTTAGCTGAAAGTTAAACATGTAAGTAAAGCATTCAGTAATGCCTGGCCATTTGAAAGTGGTTAGTGGATATTACATGTTGTTAATAATTTATTCTCTTCTCGATTCCAAATGTCAGTAATAGCTTTGACTTTTAGCAACTCTACAACTAATAGTAACCTGCTGGACCTTAGCGAGCGGCAGCTTGTGCACTGGCACAGGAGAGCAAGCTCCGGAAGCTCTGTACCTTAGGCCCTCCACCTCCACCCTTGCTCACCACAGGACGGCTCCTCACCTTGGAGCGGCTCTGTCCATCCTCCTTCCCCTGCCTCACGCTTCCAACTGCACATTCTCTTCACACAGCTCTTGGGAGAGGCCCACCTCTCTTCCCATTGCATCCCTTTCCACTGTACCCTGGCACCGTCCGGTTACGGCTTACTGTCACCCTGTGTTAAGGTCACTCACCATTGCCTTGGAAACCAGACTGTCCTGTGCTTTCTGCCCTAACCACTCTGTTCCCTTTACCTTGAGCCAACTACGAGAGAAGCCTTCATTTAAAAAGTCGTCCAGTGTTATCCACCAGCTGCTGCTTCCCTAGTCACCAGCGAGCTTTAGTCACTGCCTGACTCCTTTCAGGCTTCTGCCATCGGGTGCATATCCTCCCAAGAGAGAGAGAGACAGTGAGACAGTGAGACAGTGAGGAATCAACCCCTGGGGGAATGGCCATACCACAATCCCATCTCCATTCTCCTCTCTGGATTCTGGGCACACACGCACACACACCCAGTGTGATTTTCAGGCCTCTGGGTCTGGGAACCCCAACTGGCCATGTGGGAGTACAACACTACAACAGCTTCACCACTGGTGGTAAGAATATTACCTGAGGTTTCTGGACCTCAGACTCTGGGGTTTCTTAAGTATTTTCCAGAAGAGTGATGGCTGAAACATCTGTACAGATCATTTATTCAAGACGCTTGCACCACTGGAACACATGGCTCATTCAGCTGAAATACAGGGAGTCTGACAGGTGGAAGTGTGGGCTCAAGCCGGGCTGCTTGGGCTGCACGCTGGCCCCACTGCCTACTAACTCTGACCTTCAGCCGCTCTAGTTTATTGGTTTGCTTCCTTAGCTGAAAGTTAAACATGTAAGTAAAGCATTCAGTAATGCCTGGCCATTTGAAAGTGGTTAGTGGATATTACATGTTGTTAATAATTTATTCTCTTCTCGATTCCAAATGTCAGTAATAGCTTTGACTTTTAGCAACTCTACAACTAATAGTAACCTGCTGGACCTTAGCGAGCGGCAGCTTGTGCACTGGCACAGGAGAGCAAGCTCCGGAAGCTCTGTACCTTAGGCCCTCCACCTCCACCCTTGCTCACCACAGGACGGCTCCTCACCTTGGAGCGGCTCTGTCCATCCTCCTTCCCCTGCCTCACGCTTCCAACTGCACATTCTCTTCACACAGCTCTTGGGAGAGGCCCACCTCTCTTCCCATTGCATCCCTTTCCACTGTACCCTGGCACCGTCCGGTTACGGCTTACTGTCACCCTGTGTTAAGGTCACTCACCATTGCCTTGGAAACCAGACTGTCCTGTGCTTTCTGCCCTAACCACTCTGTTCCCTTTACCTTGAGCCAACTACGAGAGAAGCCTTCATTTAAAAAGTCGTCCAGTGTTATCCACCAGCTGCTGCTTCCCTAGTCACCAGCGAGCTTTAGTCACTGCCTGACTGCAACTGCCAGCCACCGGCAGCCACCCCATCAGTCCTCCTCTCCATCCTGTCTCCTGGATGCAGTGCACCCCCAGGTCCCTGGTTTCTGAGACCCAGCCAGGGCAGCATTACCTCTTCCACCTATCACGGAGCATTCTGCTCACACACGCCGTGTGACACTCCACATCAATATTCGTCACATCCTCCACTTGTGTCAGGCCTCAATTTCTGTGTGGCCAGCTCAGCTCCAGTGCATGCCCCCACGGTACTGTCTTTATCCTGGACAGTGCGATCCCTTCAGATGCCTACTGAAAATCCCACGCCCCTACACCTTTGTGTTTTAGATTTTTGCCATAGGGCACATGTGCTCACCAGAGAGGGACAGAAAGTAAGGAATTTCCACCCCGGGGAGGATGTCTTCACTTCAATCCCTCCTCCATTCTCCTCATGGAATTCTGGGGACTCACACACATGTGCCCAGCCTCATTTTGTTTTAAGAGATTTTTTTGGCTATAGGGCACATGCGTTTGCCAAAGAGACAAAGAGAGACAGAAAGTGAGAAATCACCCTCATAGGGGATGGCCATACCACAATCCCTTCTCCATTTTCCTCTTGGGCACACCTGTACACATGCCCAGCGTGAGTTTTAAGCTGCCCAGTCCAGAACTTAAACTGTGGTCAACTACGTGAGAAATCAGCGATGTTACCATTACACAATCTGCTGGTCCCACACCCAGTCTGATTTTCAAGCCACTATTGTCCAGGACTCAAACTGTGGTCAGTCATGTAGGAGTCCAGTACCCTGACCACCACACCACCTGCAGGCCCTTTTTTTTTTTTTTTGAAAAGGTTTTTGCTATAGGGCACGTGTGCTCGCCAGAGACAGACAGAGACAGAAAGCGAGAAATCACCCCCCAGGGGAGGGATGGCCACGCCACAATCCCTTCTCCTCCATTCTCCTCTTGGGACCTTGGGCACGCACGCACATACGCCCGGCGTGAGTTTTAAGCCACCGGGTCCAGGATGTGAACCACAGTCGACTACATGGGAGTCCAGCGACAGCCATTATGCTAACTGCTGGTCCCAGCCCATTTGTTTTTTGATATTACAACTGCACAAGAACAAGAACCAAACCCCACCTTTATTTTTAACCAAGTCAGGAACCCTGTCTTTGTACACAGCAGGCACGCTGCACTGTTCTGGGTCTTGCCCTATGGCCCCTGTGGTACTGAATAGGTAAGAGGAATGTCGTAGAGTGCAGGAGGGAAACGGAGCAGGGGTTCACTGACCAAGCAGGCTGTGCAGACAGTGGGCTGGAAATACCCCAAGTAAAAGCATCGAGTCGACAGCAGGCCTAAGATGAGGGCTGCATTTCAGCGAGCAATCAGAGTAGAGGTTCTGAAACAACCGTTCCGTGAAGTCAAATTAGAGGAGTATGGGTAGTGTCCATTTCGTAAGGACATTCTCCTAAGTTCTCATCACTATATAATACAGCTGCTCCCAACGAGAAGCGCTGAAGAGAGTGTGAAACAGGAGGCAGGCTAGGCCTAGCAGGATGTGTCCTCACATCCTCAGAGCTCCCTCTGGGGTCTGTCCTGGGGCAGAAATCTGGGTTCCCAGTCCCAGTGGCCTCGTGTGCAGCTGCAGTGCTGGTGTCACAGAAAAGCTGAATAACCAGCTCCCAGCTTAGGAACGAGTTGTTAAAACCGTCCATTGCTTCTTCCTCTGTTGTGAAATCAAGAGAATCTCATAGTTGTGCACCTTCCAACCCAGGGGCCAGTCTGAGCCGCGACATGCCTGAGCTTTGGCACCAATGCCATTCCTGTGTCTAGGTGAGTGTGCTCACCCCTACAGCACAGTTCAGGGCAGACACAACCACCAGCCCAGTGGAGACGTCCTACATGAGGCAGTGGGGCAAGGAGCCCGGGATGGCCCGAGGGAGGTGGGACACATTGCAGGAGCAGGCATGGCAGGCACAGGGCTAGGAAGCGAGGCAATTCAGAGTGGGGCCTCCAGAAGGAAGGGGGTTCCCAGGACCAGCAGTTAGCGTAAGGGCTATGTCGCTGGACTCCCATGTAGTTGACTGTAGTTCGCTGGCTTAAACTCATGCCAGGTGTGGGAACCAGCAGTTGGCATAATGACTATGTCGCTGGACTCCCACGTAGTCAACCACAGTTCGCATCCCAGACGCAGTGGCTTAAAACTCACACCGGGCGCATGTGCGTGTGTGCCCAAGATCCCGAGAGGAGAATGGAAGAGAAGGGATTGCGGCGTGACCATCCCCCTGGGGGGTGATTTCTTGCTTTCTGTCTCTGTGTCTCTCTGTCTGTCTGGTGAGCGCACATGTCCTATAGCAAAAAACCTCTCCAAAAGAAAAAAACAAAAAAACTCATGCCAGGTGTGCAGGTGTGTGTGTCTGTGTGTGTGCATGCCCGAGATCCTGAGAGAATGGAGGAGAAGGGATTGTGGCATGGCCATCCCCCCTGTGAAGTGATTTCTCTCTTTCTGTCTTGAAATGAGAAAGCAAGCCAGCAAATTCAGGACTCGAACACTGGTTGGCCATGTGGGAGTGTCCAGCACCTTAACCACCACGCCACCTGCTGGTCCCCGTCTCTCTGTCTTTCTGGCATGCACACGGGCCCTACAGCAAAAACCTTTCAAAAAAAGGAGTTCCCTTCCTCTTCCTCCCCTCCCCATCTGCCACTGTCTCATCACATCAACTCACTGATGAGCTAGAAGTGAGGGGAGAAGAGGACTAGAATTGAGCTGAGTAGGAAGGTATGAGAAACCGTGGCAGTTGCTGTGGCAAAATAGAGAAGGGAATTATAGGACAGTTCAGTAGAGATTAAGGATAATTTCTATGGAGAGACAGCAAGTGGCATGATAGTTAAGGCACTGGACTCTCACGTGGTCTGCTATGGTTTGAGTCCCAGACCTGGCTTGGAAATCACACTAGGTGCGTGCGCGAAAGCCCAAGAGGAGAATGGAAGAGAAGGGAGTGCAGTGCGGCCAACCCCCTGAAAGGTAACTTCCCCCTTTCCCTCTCTCTGTATGCACCCTATGGCAAAAACTTAAAAAAAAAAGAAAGAAAGAAATTTAGTGCTAGAACTGGGAACTAGGTGTCATGGAGACAGGGACTAGGAACCACAGGTACACCTCTGGGCCCATGTGCTGTCCACGGAGAGAGCCCTCACAGTTCCCCCTGGGGCAGAGTATTTTCTCAGTGATACGTGGGAGTCCACCAGTTGTGGGTTGTTTCTCAGAAGTCCAAGGGATGTGTCATTCATCTCTGGGCCTTTTACATACTCAGGATGGAAATTACACCAAAAAGCTGTAATGTTCTCAAGGACATTATTCGGGAATTTGAAACACAGTGGTAACAGCAGCATGGGAACCAGGGATGTCCAGATCACACAGCACCAGTAGCACGCCCCTATACACACATGCCCTGTGCTTGGAAGACCCTCCAGAGCCTCGCTATGCCGTCTCTTTCCTCCAAATACTTTAATTGGAAGGAATGGAAAGACTACTTAAAGCCCATTTGGGGGCATAATGGTAGGTTAATTCCCTGTCCATCCTGAAGAGCAAGTGGCTCGTGTTTCCTGAAGGGACTTCTTGTGCTAAACATGAGCAGAGGCCCCTTGTTTACAAGCCATTCAGGATTCCTCACTTCACAGGTGACCTTGAAAGTAGCTGTGGCTCCATTTCCAGATCTTATGTTCTAACTGGTGCATTTCAGGGGACTGTGGAGCCCTAAGGACAGACTCCTATCCAGGCTCGGTGTTGTAGAGGACCTGTGAGTGGGACTCAACGTTCTAAAGAAGCCCTCAGGTGACTCCGATGATCACGGGGCTGGGGAGTCACTGGGTGTAACAGACAGGACTGGAAGCCAGAGGTGGCACTGGGACTGTGGGCCTCCCTCTGTGTGGTGCTGCAGCTGTCATCATCTCCGTAAGCCAGAGTGCCCTCACTTTTAAAATGGAGAATTTTAGGCTGGTCCCTAGCTCAATGGTTAAGGGAGCCAGATCCCACATGGCTGATTGAGATTGGAATCCTGGCCCCACAGCATGTGTGTTTGTGCTTAAAATCCTGATGGGGGACCAGCAGGTGGCGTGGTGGTTAAGGGCACTAGACTCCCACATGATCAACTGTGGTTTGAGTTTTGGACCTGCAGCTTGCTTTCTCATTTTCCCTCTTTCTCTCTCTCTCTCTCTCTGTCCCTCTCTGGTCAAAATTTAAAATAAGTAAAATAAATAAAATTAAATAGAGCAAGTCTTAAAAAAAAAAAATCCTGATAGGAAGGAGAAATGGAGGGAAGACCACAGTGTGGCCATGCCTCATTGTGGGGGTGGTTTATATATATATTTTTTAAGTGATATTTTTGCTATAGGGCACATGCAGTTGCCAGAGAGAGAGAGAGAGAGAGAAAGTGAGAAATCATCCCCCAGGGGGATGGCCACACTTCAATCCCTTGATTGAGATCCAAACCGCTGGGTTTGGGACTCGAACCGCTGTTGGCCATGTGGGAGTCCAGCAACCTAACAACTATGCCATCTGCTGGTCCAGGGTGTGGGGTAGGGGTGGGGAGTGGGGTGGAGTGTTTTCTCTCTCTGGCAATAAAAAATTTAAAAAGAAAAAAATACAATGGAGTATTTTGGTTTACAGAGAAATTTTAGGAATTATATGAGAACAGTGCTTTGTAAAGTGCTCTGTGAGGTGTTCCAGTGCTGTGAAGTATTAAACAAAATTACTGACACTTAGCACCCTCCCGGCCTGTCCTCAACTTCATGCCCTCACCCACCCAGTCTGAAGGAATTCTATTTCAGGCCAGCTGGTTGTGTTCCGATGCCTCCAATCCACAGGCACTCCTGCCTCTGCTGGCGTTTGTTTCACTAACGTTTCCTTCTTTCTGCCTCCCACGTCTGCCCACTGGTCCTTACATTCTGTAAACATCTCTCCTGACCACTCAGGCAAAGTAGTCTGTTCTTCAGATTCCCTGCACGCAGTACCCACTAAGTGCCGCTTTGATTTATTTCCTGAAGGCTTACTTAACGACCTGTGAGCCTCAGCTCTCCCAACTGGGCATAAACTGTGGAAAGGAGCCTGGTGTGCTGCCCCGTTCTCCATGACATCGCATGCAGTGGGCGACACTACAGGTCCTTACTAAACACAGAGGCTTCCTTACAGGAAGTGACTGCCATGTGGCCCAAAGCTGACAGCTCAATTCCCCACAGCTGGCACTCTCGAGCCACTCCCCAGCAGCCAACACTCCAGACTAGACCCTTCTCCTTTGTGGACATCTTGGTGCTCAGTAACAGCCAAGTTCTGCCTGAATGATTAGCTACAGGGACCACCTTTGCTGTGGGTTCTCTGGTGTTCACCGAGATCTGACCTCTGTCTGAAGGCTCCCCAGTGTGGGTTCCCTATATGCTAGGAGGACCGATCTCTGGGTTAAAGCCTTCCCACATGGACCACATTTATAGGGTTGCTTTCTAGTATGGACTGGTTGATGTTCTACGAGACCTGTCCTCTGAACGAAGGCCTTTCACATACGCCACACTTACAGGGTTTCTCCCCAGAGTGGCTCCTCTGGTGCTGCAGGAGGCCGCTCTGACTGAAGGCTTTCCCACACTCTTCGCACTGATAGCATTTTTCTTTGTGGTGGATCTCCTGATGGGACACGAGGGAGGAGTGGTACACAAAGGCTTTCCCACACTCTTCGCACTGATAGCATTTTTCTTTGTGGTGAATCTCCTGATGGGACACGAGGGAGGAGTGGTACACAAAGGCTTTCCCACACTCGCTGCACTCGTAGGGCTTCGCGCCAGCGTGAACGCCCTGGTGCTGCCTCAGCACGGAGCGCCGACTGAAGCTTCTGTCACACTGTGGACACTGGTAGGGTTTGTCTCGCGTGTGGATCTTGAGATGGTTGAAGAGGCCTGCCTTCTGGCTAAAGGCTTTGCCACACTCGTTACAGTGGTAGTGTTTTTCTCCCATGTGAAGTCTCTGGTGTTGATTAAGGACTGACCACCGGCCAAAGTCTTTGCCGCACTCATGGCATTTATATGGCTTCTCTCCGGTGTGTACGATTTTATGTCTGATGAACACAGTTCTCCCACGGAAAGTTTTCCCACACTCTCCGCACTTGTAGGGCCTGTCTCCAGTATGGATCCTCTGATGCTCGATGAGGCGTGAGCGCCGACTGAAAGATTTTCCACAGTCGTCACATGCATGAGATTTTTGTCCTGGACAGACTCTCTGATGTACAGTATGGTCAGAACCTTCAATCAGACTTACTCCAGTTTCGTCACATGTAGGTTGTTTATCTTCCCTGAAGTATCCAGAAGGCTGTTCTGTTTTTGCTTCAGGTTCATAAGTTTCTCCACACCCAGGAGACTGGGGCGTATCATTTTCAAATCTGGTAGATATATTCCCATATGGCTCCATTTCTTCAGAAACTTCCTGCTTTAAATTCCTGTACTCGTTTCTAGTCTCCACATCTGAAACTACAGATCATAAATGTGATCTACATTTCAGGAATAGCAAACAGTAATTTCGTTAGACAACAGAACATTCTAATGGAAAACACAATAGGAACCTAGTTTCTGGAGCCAGCAGGTGATATGGTGGTTAAGGGTGCTGGACTCCCACATGGCCAACCACGATTCAAGACTAGGTTCTAGCAGCTTATTTCTCACTTTCTCTCTCTCTGTCCCTCTCTGGTCAAATTTAAATAAATAAATGGATAAATAAAGTTACGTAAAATAATTATTTAAAAAAAAAAACACTGGGGCCAGCAGTGGCGTGGTGTTTAAGGTGCTGGACACTCCCACATGGCTGACCACGGTTCAAGTCCTGGGCCTGGCGGCTTGCTTTCTCACTTTCCCTCTCTTTCTCTGTCTCTCTCTGATCAAATTAAAATAAAATGAATGAATAGATAAAATTTTTAAAAAAAGAAAAAAAAAACCCAAACACCTAGTTTCTGCATGACTATAAAGCAGCATCAGACATAGAACCAATCTAATATATAAAGCACTCTGAAAATTAAGGAAGCGATTAATGACCTAGCAGAAAATGCGACACAAGAAAGATGGATGGCTTCCAGGTAAGAAAACAAAAGCGCTGGGGCCAGCAAGTCACGTGGTGGTTAAGGCACTGAATTCCCACATGGCCGACCATGGTTCAATGGTTGACCTGGTGTCTTGCTTTCTCACTTTCCCTCTCTTTCTCTGTCTCTCTTATCAAACTGGAAAATAATAATAATAAAGTTAAATAAAATAATTCTTAAAAAAATTACAGTAGGTCTCTCTTTTTAAAAATTTGATAAGAGGCTATTTGTCTCACCACAGAGAGGGAGAGTGCCCCATGGGGACATTCGCGCCACAATGCCTTCTCCATCTCTCTCCTCTTGGGATTCTGGGCGTGCAAGCCCTGGGCCCAGTGTGTCCTTTGGGCCACTGGGTGTACTCAAACTGCATAGTCGGCCACGTGGGATCACACTGCCTCAACCACCCACCTCGGGCTGACCCAGAACAGCTCTAGCTCACAATAAGGGAAAAGCAAATTTAAATGACACGGAGATACAATTTTCAACCTCCAAATCTGCCTCATCAGTTTGATATAATACTGTGTTAATAAAGTAGGTATCACGTATTGCCAGCAGAAATGTGAACTGATTCGAGCCTTTACAGAGGGCAATTTAACAGCTGTCACAACTGAACATTCCACCCACAGGAATTTGTACTGCAGACACACTCACCCTCACTCTCCACAGCAGAATGTGGTCAGACACTGGGTGAATGGCACTGCAGGGGGCTGGCTGAGCTGGCCGAGTGACAGCTGGCTAAGCGGACCGAGTGACGGGACTGGCTGAGCAGGCCGAGTGACAGGGGGCTGGCTTAGCAGGCTGAGTGACAGGGGGCTGGCAAAGTGGGCCAAGTGACGGGGCTGGCTGAGCTGGCCAAGTGATACACCCACACATTCCAACATTAAGCAGCTGGTAAGAAATAAAAAATGCAAGATTCTACATCTCAGTGATAAAGAGGAAAAATATTTGTGTCAATTTGAAAAATGTGTATTCACAAAAATAATTCCTGCAAGGATATACAAAAACTAGTCATCGTGACAACCTATTTTAGAGACTAGATGGCTAGGTGTTACTGAGTAGAATGAAACTTTTCATTGGATAACTTGTAAATTATAACTTTTTATAATTGTTGGTTTTTGAACAAAGTTTTATCTGTTTAAAAAAATTAAACAAGGGGCCAGCAGATGGTGTGGTGGTTAAGGTGCTCGACTCCCACATAGGCGACCATGGTTCAAGCCCCACACCTAGCGGCTTAGAAACTGTGCTAGGTGCATGTGCACGTGTGCCCAAAGTCCCAGGGGAAAACGGAGGGACTGACATGGCCGTCCCTCCTGGGGTCTCCCACCTCTCCTCTCAGTGTCTCTCTGTTTCTAGAGAGTGCCCGTGACCTATGCCAAAAACTTAAAACAACAAATGAAAATTAAATGAAAAAAAAAAGGAGAAATTAGAGATAAAGTAGGTAAAGGGTCGCTTACCATTCACCACATTTTACCACATTTGTTTTATCTTATTCCCTTTCTAAGAGTAATTATAGTCATTAATTTTTCTTTTTTTTTTCTTTTTTTTTTTTGAGAGGTTTTTTGCTATAGGGCACGTGTGCTTGCCAGACAGAGAGAGAGAGGGAGAGCGAGAGAAAGCGAGAAACACCAGAGAGAAAGCGAGAAATCACCCCCCCAGGATGACCACGCTGCAATCCCTTCTCCTCCATTCTCCTCTCGGGATCTTAGGCACGCATGCACACGCGTCCGGCATGAGTTTAAGCCACCGGGTCTCGGACTCGAACCGCGGTCAACTACATGGGAGTCCAGCAACATAGCCATTACGCTAACTGCTGGTCCCAGTCATTAATTTTTCTAGAGCCACCTGAGACTTGGCTGCAGCGATCACCGGGCAAAGGCTTACTCACTGGAGGAGGAAGGATGCGGCCCAAGTATAGAGCAGCAATACTGCTGGGGAGAGTACGGACTACAAGTCGGGAGTTGCCATAAGGACCGAACCAAGTCATTTCAAATAAACTATAGTCAGAATTTACGAAAAAAAGAAAAAAGTGACTTTAAAAAGAAAAACGAATTGAAGAGTGAAAAGCAAGCTGCCTGAGCCCTTGGATTCCTAGAGGTGCCTCCCTAACTCTGATGATAAGAAATGGCACTAAATGTATAGAACTTGGTTCATCTTTCTCATCTTCCCAAGGTGGGTCTTGCTCCTTACCTTGCTCCTGTTGGGCTTCAGGTTCTGATGGTTCCCACCTGAGCCGGACGTCTGTGGACTGGAGGGCCATAGTGGGTTCTTGTTCTGTTTCTAGAGGTTCCACCTCCTGTTCCCCAGAGAGTACTGGGGCCTGAGAAAAATGAGATAAGCTGGTAACAGACAGCGGAGCATATTGTTCACGGCAGTGGCACGAGTTCGCTGAATGTGAAACACCTTCCCAAATACTACTGCTGTCGCCCTACCCATTCTTCAAGGCTCACGTAAATGCCGTCACCTCTGGGGAACCAGCTCTGTCCCAGCCACAAGTAATTTCTGCTGTAACTTACAGTGAAAGCATGTTGATTGTGCCACCTTTACTTCATTCTGATGCTCACAGTGGAGAAGGCAAAGAGTAAAAAAGGATAAACAACAAAGGGGCCAGCAGGTGGCATGGTGTTTAAGGGTGCTGGACTCCCACATGGTCGACTGAGGTTCGAGTCCCACATCTGGCGGCTTGCTTTCTCACTTTCTCTGTGTCCTTCTCTGGTCAAATTAAAATAAATTAAATAAATAAAGTTAGGATAATTCTTTTAAAAAAAAGAAAGGAGAAGGAAAAGAAGGTAAAAAGCAGCAGAAAGGTGAGACAAAGACAGGACTTAGGGGAAAATAGAAAAGTAGAGAAAGAAAAGGGGAAGGGGAACAGTGCAGGGAAACAATGCGGCAGAATGAGAAGGCAGGTGGGAACAAGAGGGAGGAGGGGAGAGTGGGCAGTGGGAGACAGGGAGACACGTCCTTCAGACATTGCGGAAGTCTCTGCCCTTTGCCCGTCCCACTTCTCTCCGGAAGACGACCTTATTTCCCACTCGGCAGATCACAATCGTCTAAAGATATCTCCCTCCAACTTCATCTACCTCCACACTTGCTCTTTCCTCCCCTCCTCAGGGAAGATTTCTTCTCTCCAAGCTCACATCTCTGCTTCTGTCTGCAATTCCACCCTTCTGCTTCCCTAACCCAATCCATTATTTAACTCACTTCGGCCACTCCTGTTCCCCCATAGGCACATTTACTCTTTTTTTTTTTGAGAGGTTTTTGCTATAGAGCGCGTGCGCGCCAGACAGACAGAAAGACAGAGAGACAGAAAGCGAGAAATTACCCCCCAGGGGAGATAGCCATGCCGCAATCCCTTCTCCTCCATTCTCCTCTTGGGATCTTGGGCCCACACGCACACGCGCCCGGTGTGAGTTTTAAGCCACTGGGTCAGGGACGTGAACCGCGGTCGACTACGTGGGAGTCCAGCGACATAGCCATTATGCTAACTGCTGGTCCCGGCACATTTACTCTTGCTTTTAAAAATAATGTTTCCCCAGCACAGCACAAGGGGACTTTTAAAAGTTCATGGAAAATGGAATTAAAGTTTATTTCGGCACAAATATTTTAAAAAATCTATGCATAGTTTATTCAGAACATGTACTTTCCATGAACTTTTTGAAGACCCGCTAGATTTGTAAGACACGAATTCTCAGACACAAATTGCGCACGCCGAGCTGCTCTGTGACTCTGAGCCACTCCCCCTCCCTCAGGTGACAGGGCAGCCACCCTCGAGAGCCAAGCTCTTGTCACTGTACTCCCTCCACCAGGGCATTTTTACGTGCGCCAAAAAACGCCGTCACACGCTGTCTCTACGCCCTGCAGTTTGATTTTGTAACCTCTGCCTCCAGAATAAGAGCCAGGTCGAGAACGCATTCTCGGATGTATGGAGAGGTGTTTTGATAGTTCACGGTTATGAGAGGAAGCAGGGCCAGCAGAGCGAGCTCTGCGCCCCCATCTCTGAAGCAGGGACTGGCTGGCCACACGAGTCACCTGTGCTGCACCTGCACCGAGGGCCCATTCCCCCAGGTTCTCGTCCTACCTCCTGGGCCACTCACTTCCCACTGCTGGGGCCGGCAGCCTCGCTCACGGCTTTAAACACATGCCACCCACATTCCAAAAACCTTCACTCACGCCTCTACCACAGACCCCCCCAAACCTCAGCACTCCCAGGGGTTTGGCCAACACTCCCATTCAGATTCTAACAGGAATCTCAAATACCAACTTTTTTTTTGAGAGAGAGATTTTTGCTATAGGGTACATGCGCTCACCAGAGAGAAAAAGAGGCAGACAGAAAGAAATCACCCCCCAGATCATGCCGCGATTCCTTCTCCCTTCTCTTGGAATTCTGTGCACACAGGCCAGCGAATTTCACTGCTCTTAACAAGGACCCTGCCAGTGAGCAGTTTTCACACAGGAACACCACAGGGGTCTTTAGTCTTTAGACTCCAGGGTGGCAGCTCCTAGGAGATCAGGCAGCTTCCAGGAGCATGCTGTGCACCGACTTGGGGCAGGACTCATTAATGCAGATTTTGAACTGGAATCTCACAGACAGGGAGGCTGCATGCCCAGGGTGATTTCAAGCTGCCAGGTCTGGGGCTGAAACCATGATCAACCATGTGAGAGTCCAAAACCCCACACAAAATGTTGAAACAGTAACAAAAGGTTCTGCTTTTCTTCAGTTATCTGTACTGTGCAACAACAGTGGCACACCTTTCAAAAGGCAGCTTCCTATCTTGCTACCATCTCTCTTGAACAGATTTTCTGTGCCAGGAAGCTTCTATTTCTTTAGGTTTTGCTGCAGGTCATAGACGCTACCAGGAGAGAGAGGAAAAGTGAGAAATCATCCCCCAGGGGATAGCCACTCCTCAATCCCTCTTATCCCTTCTCCTCTCAGGATTTTAGGCATGCATGCATATGCACCCAGCGTAATTTTCAAGCCATTAGTCTGAGACTCAACCATGGCTGGCCAAGTTGGAGTCTAGCACCTTAACCACCATGCCACCTGCTGCTCCTAAAATAAATTTGCCAGGGGGCATGAGTGCTCAATGGAGAGAGACAAAAAGGGAAAGTGAGAAGGACCACCATGGGTAATGGTCATGCTGCAATCCCTTCCTCCGTCTCTTCCTTCTTTTTTTTTTTTTTTTTTTTTGAGATTTTTACTATAGGGCGCGTGCGCTCGCCAGACAGAGAGAGACATTAGAGACAGAAAGCGAGAAATCGCCCCCCAGGGGGGATAGTCACGCCGCAATCCCTTCTCCTCCATTCTCCTCTCGGGATCTTGGGCACGCACGCACACGCGCCCGGCATGAGTTTTAAGCCACCGGGTCCGGACGCGAACCGCGGTCGACTACGTGGGAGTCCAGCGACATAGCCATTACGCTAAATGCTGGTTCCCCCTCCGTCTCTTCCTTCTGAGCACTATGGGTGCACATACAAGCTCACACGCTGCAAGTGATTCTCAAGTCACTGGGTCCAGACTTGAACCACACTTTCAGTCATGTGGGATCAGCTGCTCCAACCACCAGGCAGTGGGCTGGTCCAATGCCTTCTGTTGCTAAGCTGAGCAACATGTTCATGAAACAGGGTTTTGTAGCTCGGTACAGAAATACACAATCCCTCCATGGAAAAGATAAAAATAAGTTAGAACTATGGGGACCAGCAGGTGGTGTAATGGTTATGCCGCTGGACTCTCACGTAGTTGACTGGTTTAAGTCCCAGACCTGGTGGCTTAAAACTTACGACAGGTGTGTGTATACCCAAGATCCCAGGAAGAGAATGGAGGTGAAGGGATAGTGGCATGGCCATCCCTCGGAGTGTGGGGGGATTTCTCACTCTCTTTCTCTCTGTTTCTCTCTTTGGCAAGTGCACACACTCTATAGCAAAAATCTCTCTTAAAAATTTTTTTTAAATGGCCAGGTGACATGATGGTTAACGGTGTTGGATTCTTACATGGCTGATGAGGTTCAAGTTCTTGCTTTCCCTTTCTCTCTCTCTGTGCAGTTAAAAAAAAATTTAAAAAGTAGCAAACGAAATCAAATAATTTTTTTTTATTTTATTTATTTATTTTTTGGAGAGGTTTTTGCTATAGGGCACGTGCGCT